CATGTGCCTTCCTGGCCAAGGTAGGAGGGCGTATGCACCGATCCTGGGCTCAAGAGGTGTACGTGCATAGTTTTTCTTCCTCTATCGAAATGCAGTGAGCATCGCGGGGGAGGACTCCCGCAACCAGGTGCCCCTGGGGACGACCGGCGACGGACTCCATGCACGGCAGAACCCCTTGACGCCCGAGAGCCTCGCGCCCCTCTAAGGCCACCGAAAGGCAAAAACTTGCCGTGGAGCCCGGATGGCCCCCCTTGGCACGCACGCCGTCCGTCGCGGCTCCGAACCGACGGGTGGGGGAGTGAGAAGACGCTCCCGTACATGGACATTACATTCGAACCCTGTGGCCCAAGATGCCCCCGAGACCCCCAAAAATTAATATTGATGGCGTGGCGACGGGGGGGGGCGTGAGTGGACAGAAATATTCGAACCCCAAAGCACCGCCTTTACTGAGATCAACATTGATGTCGGGGGCGCGGTGGTGATTTAGAATCTCCCTCGAATGCGTAAGGGTTCGAATATATTGTCCATCTACTGTCCCGCTTCTTGCAGGACTCGAACCAAGGAAACGCTGCTGCCATGGTCATTTTCGCGCAGTTGGGCACCGGGAGCTGGACTGACATCGCCAGCCGCGTCGGGCCCGAACTCATCATGTGCTATCATATCTCATATTCACCGATAACCATCAGCAGCGCAGCTACCTTGTGGGGGTGCCCGCTCCTCACGGTTACCAATCGCGTCCGCACTCCGATGGGCCTTCACGTGGCTGACGGCACTGACGCGTGCCTATCAACGAGCTGGCGATCGAACCACGCAACCCCAACAACAAGCTTATGATCCCGTAGCCTCGCACACTCTGGGGCGAGGGCTTGAAAAAACGCAAAAACGCACCAGGGGGGGGCGGTAGGGAGAGGAAGGGTAGAGGGAGGACGGGTTGAAGGGGAGGAAAGCAAGCGGGGTTGGTGGAGCGCTAGAAGGGCTGGCGCGAAAGACGCGCAACGCGGATCTCATCCGAAGACTATGGCGCTTCAACGCTCATTCCACACAACTGTCGCATCGCCAGAACGCGATGACAGAGATAAACGTACATGGCGAGCTGCCGACCGCGCTCAGATGGATTCGTCATAGTAGCATAGGCAAGAGCCCCACGATGCCCGCAACCAGGAGATGGCTATTCACGCGAAGACATACTTGAGCTGATTGCAAGCTTATGATTGCAACCAATTGCGACTCCGATGGTCCGATGGCAGAAGGATCGTTGCAGAGCTCCTGAGAGGCTAAATTCTAGACGTTACGAGAGGCTGCACGAGAGATTCTGCGAGGCTCCTTCAGAGTGCCTGCGAGGCTCCTTGCGAGCTTCTAGAACAACGAACTTCTGAAAGAGTTTCCGAGATGCCGATCAAGAGCTCCTGGACATCTCGATCCTGGTCTCCTTCGAGGCTTCTGAAGTAAATCCTGTTTTTTGGGGAGGCGTCTTAGGCCTCCTTAGACCTTGGTCCTGGCCTCACGCACCCTCTCGCTCTCCTCCAGGGCGGCGAGGTCCTAGACGTCTCGATCAGGTTCCAGGACCCGTCCTTGTCCTCGTCGAACTTCTCGAAGAGCTCACTTGCCAGCCTTTCCGACTCCTGGCGCCCACATCCCCTGACTCAGCCCGCTCCAGCCCTTCGCGCTCAGAATTTAGAAAAGGGAATGATGAAGAAGGGAGGCCGGACAGAACGATTGAGGTTCCAAAATCTTCTAATTACCGTCTTGTACCGTCCTGTGCACCCAAGAACCTCCGCGCAAGAGGGGGGGGATCCCTGTCAACTCTGTTTGACCTCTGGGGGTCAGTTCGTCGCCAGGGCCGGATCCGCCTCCGAATCCTGCTCAGGACGCACCCAATGGGAGGTCCAGGGGAGATGAGGAGGGAGGGAGAAGGCCGGAGGAAGAGGATGGGCGAGAAATGACTGAGAGGAGGGGGGAGGTGTGGAGTTGAGCGATGAAGAGGGACGCGGAGGCATGGGATGAAGCGAGCGGAAGACTGCGTTCCGCCCCAGCAGGGCGGCGCTGTGAGGCCCAAGGCCCGGCGCAGCCGGCAATGTGTTAGACTGGATTGGAAGCTGCGCCGTCCGGCGCGGGGACAAGAAATCATATTGATATTGTTTTCCAGCCGTCACGAGCGGATGTGGGTGAAACGTTGCGTCGGTCAAAGAGAGCTTGAGGAGATGGAGGGAGAATACCCACGTACCCTTATCTCTTATCCAGGAGCTCAACGGATCTTGGGCACCAGACCTGCCACAACCCACATCGGATCTCGGCGGGACCCGAGCATAGCAAGCAAAAAACGCCGAGGCCAACAAGGAACTGAAACGGTGGGATGGAGAGGAACATGTATCGTGACACTCGGCCTCCAGCACGCCTCCTGCTGCTGTCGCTGCCGCTCTTCCGATCACGCTGCCGACTCATCGGCGCCCGCATGTCCATGGTTCAATTCGCAGGCTCCGTGGCTCCCGGCCCCTCCCCAGGGACAGTCTCTCGTCCCTGGCTCTTTGTGTTGACGTCCCTGCGGTCTTAAAGCGGCCCCCAGAGGACGAATAGTACACAGTAGAGGGCAGAATAAGCATAACCCCCCAGCGGCCCCCTGAGGCCAACTCCCATAATAAGCATCCCCCGACAAGCGAAGCCGTTTAGTAAGCGCACCCAAGGAGGAAATCGAGCAGGGCAGGGCTGTCTAGTAAACGCCCAGGACCGTTTAGTAAACGCCAACTGTCTTGGTCTGGGTGGTTTTCGATCCCTTGACGAAGAGCCTCTGCCTCGATTCTGCCAAGACGCTGGAGGCCTGGGTTCGGGCTGGGTTCGGGGGCCGAAGCTCGCGCGCCAGACCTGTCCAGGGGGGCGGTCCAGCCTCTAGCCAGACTTGGCCTGGCCAGGAAACCATGTGCACCGCTCCTGGGCCCTGGATGGCTGGCGTGGGGGACTCGGATCCTGGACCCGGGGGGGCCTTCACCCACGCGACCAATCACTTCTCCTGAGTTGTTTCTTGAGGGCCCAGGGGCCGAGGGGGGCGCCCCGAGAGCCCGAGAGCAACGAAGAAACTCAGGACCTGTTTCCCTCAGGACCCGCCTGCTCCTCTTGGCGGCGCGCACAAGGGGGGTATGGGGGGAGGGGGAAAGGCTTCTTAGAAAGAGGCTGCTTCTTCCAAGGCGCCGGCCCTAAATCTACAGACAAGGGGCGCACCTTCCAAGAAGCAGGGGTGCTTCTAAGAAGCCTTCCCTGCACGGTTTCCCTCGGAGCCGTAGGCGAGCCGAGGAGGAGGAGGAGGAGGAGGAGGAGGAGGAGGAGGAGGAGGAGGAGGAGGAGGAGGAGGAGGAGGAGGACGGGTCGCCAAAGCCCTTCGGAGAAACCCTCCAGCCTTCCCCCCCCTACCCCCCTCTGTGCGTGGCCGATGCTCGGTGGCGGGGATGGGCCTGGCTGAGATCGGTGCAGGTGCGCACCGCTGGCGCCCTCTGGCTGGTGCTCCATCCTTGGAGCAGGGATTGGCCGTCCCGGCATTCCTTTATAAGTTTACCACGACGTAACCCGCAAATGTTGTAATAACAAAGCCAGTGTTTTTATCTTAGCACATAGCGCGGATGTGCTCAAACAAGGCAGTCTCGGCCAGACATGTTCTGAAGCAAAGGCCAGTCCACAAGAAACCTGCCGCAAGAAACCCAGCCCTGGGACCCCAGGACGTTCATTGACTTTTGGTGCGGGAGCACCGTGCTTCCCACTGCAGACGCATCGAAAGCCAAGAAACCCAGGGCACCCTGGAGGCAAGCAGGGTGTTTCTTGGCATGGGCCTCCACTGCAAGAACGTTTCGTGCTGACCACAAGAGGTGGTGGGCCCGTAGGCAGGCCAGGGCGCTGCGCCACTGCTCGAATCATCGACCCCCCCTGGGCCCCCGAGGCCAGGCAGCCTTTCCGCGGAAGCCGGGCGGTGCCGCGGGGCGGACGGGGCCTCCGTCTTGACGACGTTCGCCCACAGGTCCACCACGGTGTCGCCCGCGCCGATCTGGTTGAGGGGAGCCTGGCGCGGCGGGGACGTCCGCCCAGGGTGAGCGCGGCATGCTCGCGTCGCGGTGACGCCGGCCGTGGTTCCCGGCACCGCGCGGATCGTGCGACCCCGCACGATCGCGGCTTTCTGAGAACGCAGGCAGGTCGCTCGATGCGAGATTCTGGGCACCCGCTGGCGTTCCGCCTCGAGCGCCCGCGCTGCGACTGCCGCCGCGTCGACGCGGCTCGAGCCTGCCGTAAAGGAGGGACGGACGAAGGGTGCAGGAAAGCTGCCTGGAAAGGGACCAGAAAAGCCCTAAGCTGCCGCCCCGCGTCTAGGATGTGCCAAGAAGGCGCGCGTTTGTTTCACTCCCCGTTCATTTACCTCTCCTGCTTCTGGGGTGCTGCCACACCTGCTCTTGGCCGGTGTGCCCCCAGAATTCCTCGGGAGGCCTGGCCGGCCTCCAGAGCACGCCGCACGAGGCCCAAAGGGCCCCAGCGGCTCCATCATGGCGCGAAGAGTTTTGGGGTTACCTTGGGACCAAGATCACCTACGGCAGCCGCCGATCCTCGCCGCCCGTGGATCTACTGACCTGGGTTAATGCAAACCCGGGTCACTCAGGCTTTGCAAGATCCTGCAAGATCCTGCAGAATCGATCCTGCAGGATCTCGCACGCAAGCCCGGGTCCATGCACTCCCTGGCTCTGCTGGATCCTGCAAGATCCAGCGCTCCTCCTCCTCCTCCCCCTACTCCTCCTCTTCCTCCTCCTTCTCCTCCCCCTCCTCCATCTCCTCCTCCTCCTCCTGCTCCTGCTCCTGCTCCTCCTCCTCCTTCGCTCCTCCTCCTCTTCCTCTTCCTCCTCCTCCTCCTCCTCCTCCTCCTCATCTCTCTCCTACCTGTGGTAATGGTGCTGGTAAATCGCCGCCCCCCATGACTGACCCCCGTTTGCATCACGGAGTCCGCCTCTTGCGCCCCGACGCCCAGACGACGCCTCCAGCCCGGCCCCGCCCCGCCTTCGCGGAGCAGGGGTGGCAGAGCGCGGGAGGACGGAGCTCCGCCGGGGAGAGCGAGAAGGGCGGCGGGGGGGCACGCTTGAGCACGGAAAGTGCGTGGTCGGTGCCTTCGCAGCTTCGTGCAGCTGTGGTCCTACCCTGTCAGGAACGACATTGACAATCGCAGTCAAACAACTTGCGTCACATACTTCCCTGGGGGGAAGCAGGGGGGAAACACTCATACACACACAGACACACAGACACACAATAAGCACCGGCCGTGACGGGACATGGGCGGGCACGCGCGAAGGGAAGGTCGGCAATCTTCAAGAGAAGAAGAAACAACAACACAAACATAATATTTTGGCGCTCCGCGCTGATTTCTTGGATCTGCGCCGGACCCCCCTCGCAGGCTCGCGGAGCGCGCCAGGGGCGGCGCCGGGGGGGCCCCAGCGCGGATCCAAGAACTCCGTGCGGAGCGCCACAAATTCATGATTACGGCGGTTTTCCTTCTTCGAGAAGGGAAGGTGGGCAATCTTTCAATGAGCGGGCAATGCATTTCGAAACACTGCCCGTGGGTTGGCTGGTGCCGAGAGAGCAGGCGGATGAATAGGGGGCGGAGCGGGGATGGGCACGAGGAGATCGGGCGCCGTCCTGAAGGAGCTCGCTGTGCTGCTGGTAGAGCTCCCAGACGTCGCCCTTGGTTGCCTCGGCTCTTGCGGTAAGACGGCGACGGAGAGGAAGAGGGAAACGAGGTCCTCCTGACACTTGGCTCGTGTAGCGGTCTCAAGTCTGGGCCTTGTTCAGAAGGCGTGTCAGCGGTTCGGCCTCCAAGGCTTCCAGGGCTTTGCCAAGACCAGTTCCGCGTCCTCCTCCCCTGACGAATATGTGTGTGCGCACATCTGTGTGTATATATATATATGTAAATACATGAGTACATCGATATACATATATATATATATATGTAGACATATCTATAGGTATACAATTGCACATGTATACATATACATATATATATATATACACACTGATTGTCTGTGTATACACACATGCACACATGCAATGTCTGTATACACATTTGCATTCGATAGACGTACTCGTACAATGGATGGTTATATACGTAGAAACCTGTCCTGACACAACTCAGGGCCCGACCATGAAGCCTGTGTCCCGAGCGCCCCAGCAGGAGCGCCCACAGACGGCCACGATGGGCCCAAGACGGCCCAAGCTGGGTACTCGACGGCCCAACGCGCTCCCCCGACGGCCCACGGGAGCCCGACGACGACATCCAAGGGTACCCTCCCCAGGAAGAACATCCAACAAACACGAAGAACCCTAGGGCACCCTCCCCGAACCGTCCTCGATCCTAACCTCGGTCCGACTGTATCTCCCCCCTGACGGGAGAGCCAATACTCGAATCGATGAGTCGGATCGGCGATCGAAATGATTCGGATCGGCGGAATGCGCAGCCGAGTCGGGAGAAACCAAATCGGCGGAAATCGGCAGACCAGCAGGGCCTCCATCGAGAAACCGGAACCCAGATCGGAATCCGATGCTGAATCGAATCGGATTTCATCGAGGATAAAAGAAGCCCTAACCCTAATACCATAGTGAAGACGTGGCCGTCTTTGCATTAGGGACAATAAGTCTGGGCGGTTTGGTTTGATATATCTACAGACGATGCATTCTATCCCTAATGTTTTTGCTCCCCCTAACTCAGGTCCCCTCCCAAAGGGTCAGGGGCACTTGTATTGTTTATCAGGAACCGACCGACATGGAATCGAATCGAGACGGAGGCGTCGAAATGAGCCCCCCGCTTTGGTTTTCGGGTTACAACTTGGCTCTCCCCCGGAGCGGCCGTTCGGGAAGACCCGGGCACCCCTAAGAGTCGAGCGCCCTCGCCGAGGCTGGGAAAAGGCCAGGAAGCGACGCAAGCGCCCGAAAGCCTTGAAGCCTCGGACCTCGAACCTTCCCCCCCTGAACCTCTCCCCCCCTAACGGGATGAGGCTGACTCCTAGAAGGCACCAGCCCTTCGTCTGCAGACAAGACCCGCGTCTTCATCTGAAGACAGGTCCCGCCCCTTCTACGACGACGACGGCGACCGTACGCCCCATAAGCCCCCTCTGCGCGCGGCTGACCCTCAGCCCGTCCCCCCCCTGACGTTGCCTCCGGCCTTAGCATGGAGAGAAACAAGTCTGAAAGGGCCCAAGGACACACACAAACAAATACACACATAACAGGGTGTCCCATACGTTGTTCCGGGCTTTCGTTTTCCCCCCACACCCCCCATGGTTTCCCATATTTTCTGGGGGAGTCGACGATTCCTTGTGCCTGTGTGCTAATTCTCCTCCTGGAACCCTGGACCCCCCCGGGGCCTCCCCGCATGACCAGCGCTCCTCCGCCCCAGGGCCGCGTTTCCCGCCGGGCCCCGCTGGGCCCGTGGAGGGCCCCCGAGGGCTTCCTTTCTGCGTCGCGGCGCGGCAGGGGGCGATGCCGCTCGCGTGCTCTCGTGGCTGGGGACGCGCGGCGCACCAAGGCTTAAGTCGGGCCTGTCCCCCTACAGGGGGATTCTGGGCGAAGAATAAAAATAGTACTTCAGCGAAGAATCAGAGACAGTCAAACAATACCGCAAAATGGCAAAAAAACAAATGCACAAAACATCGTCCCCACACTATGTTTTTACTATTTTTGAATATTCCTCCTGTAGAGGGACAGCCCGACTTAAACCAAGGAGCGGGCAGCAGGAAGGGAAGATGGAAGACGGCGGCCGCAAACTGGCCCCGAGAGCCCGAAAACGGCGAGCAGCCTCAGGACCCGTCTCCCTCGGGACCGTCTCCCCCGTGGCCCCGGCGAATTGCACGCAGGAATAGCCCTGGGCTTTAGAGTGACCTTTGGTGCGCGGCCTCAGGGGGCCGTTGGGCCGCAGAGTCCAAGCGTGCAGGCCAGTGCTGGGGGGATCCCAGCGGGCCCGCACCAACGTTCACTCTGACGAAGGGTCACTCTGACGCGTAGCCGACCGGCGGGGGAGTGCCCACTGATCGTCAACGTCGGCCCTCAGAGGTCTCGACCCATCCCTCGGGACTGTTTCTCATCCCGAGCCGTTGCTTGACGGTCCCACGGCCCGGCGAGGGGCTCCAGAGGCCGACAAGAGGGACACACCTCCCGTCGTGACTTTTTCAGGACTCGTTTCCCTCAGGACCCGCTCATCCCATGGTAAGGCGAAGCCAGGACGAAGATAACATCGGGTGGGGTTACATCGAGAATCTCTGAGCTCCGGCGGCTCTGGAAGCTGTCTCGGGCGCCGCGGCCTTCTCGGAGCGTTCCGGAACGCTCTGCGAGCGTTCTGACATGCTCTGGAACGGATTTATCCTCGTCGGATCCCCGCCCGATATGGCTAGAGGCCTCCTAGATGGGGTTCGAGTAGATGTGTCGAAGGATCGCGCCGCATCGCCAATGCATCGCCGATGTATCGGCGATGCATCGGCGATGCACTGGCGACGTCGGCGATGCATCGCGACGTGTGGCGTGGAGAAAATCGGGCTCCGCATCGAACCGCATCGCCGATGAATCAGAGATGCGGCCGCGATCCTCCGACCCCATCTGCTTGGACCCCCTCTATGAGGCCTGGAGCAGTTCCCTCCCTTGAGCAGGGACCGACAGTCCCGGCATTCCTATAGTCCTACCACGAAATGTTCTGAGAACCCCAAGATGTTCTAAGAACACAAACATTGTCCGTAGAACACTCACCCGCTGCGCTAAGACAATACGCTCCCAGTCAGACATGTTCGAAGAACATATTTCGCGGAAGCCACAAAAAGGTTCTTGGAACAGTCTTTGGTGGGGCTAAAGGCGAGCCAGGACGCCAGTTCCCTCCCGCCGCCAGCCGCCACCAGCCGCCGCTAGGCTTAGGTCGGGCCTGTCCCCCTACAGGGGGATTTTCGACGAAAAATAAAACATACCCCGAAAACGGTCAAACAATAATCCCAAAATGGTCTGGGGATTTTTTTTTTAATACCTTTTTAGTGCATTTTTGGGATATTTTTATTTTCCGTCAAAAATCCCCCTGTAGGGGGACACGCCCGACATAACGCTAGGCCGGCGGGGTGGGCGCTCTCTGGCGCGCGGGGCGCGCCCGCGCGCTGCTGTCGTAGGCCTCCTGCAGGGCGCCCAGGAGCGCCTGCAGGGGGGCGCTCGGGCGCGCGGCCGCGGGCCGCCCACTCGAGGCGCCGGGGAGCGGCGGGGGAGCGAGGGTCCGGAAGGGGGAGCGAGGGGGGTGGGAGCGAGGGTCGAGGAGGAGGAGAAGCGAGGAGGAGGAGGAGGAGGAGGAGGAGGAGGAGGAGGAGGAGGAGGAGGAGGAGCGAGGGGGGTTAGCGAGGAAGAGGAGGGGGAGGAGCGAGGAGGAGGATCGAGGAGGGAGAGCGAGGAGGAGGATCGAGGAGGGGGAGCGAGGAGCGAGGGGGGGGAGCGAGGAGGGGGCGCGAGGAGCGAGGAGGCGAGGAGCGAGGACAGAGGAACCGATAGCAGCACGAGTGTGATTTCTGGGAGTCCGCACGGACTTCTTGGAGCGGCGCTGGACTGCCCTCCCTGGCGCGCGGAGCGGGGGGGCTCAGCGCCGCCTCACGAGATCCGCGAGGACCTTCGAGAAGCAGCGTATATGCTGGTTTGTTAGGTGCTCATGCTGGGGACCCTCTGGGGGACCAAACGCTCCACTCGTGTGTCGACGCTGCGGCGAGCGTCCGTCGGCTCGAGCCGAAACTGAGTCGAACCTGAGTCGAGCTGGAAACGAACTGGAGCCGAAGTGAAGCCGAGCTGGAGCCGAACAGCTCCGCTCGGTGGGCCTCAGGAAGGTCTCCCAGACCGAGCATCGAGGGTTCGTGTCCGAGGAGGAGGAGGAGGTTCGAGGAGGTTCGAGGAGGGGAGCGAGCCGAGAAGGGAGGAGGAGGAGGAGGAGGAGGAGGAGGAGGAGGAGGAGGAGGAGGAGGAGGAGGAGGAGGAGGAGGAGGAGGAGGAGGAGGAGGAGATGGAGGAGGAGGATGAGGAGGAGGAGGAGGAGGAGGAGGAGGAGAAGGAGGAGGAGGAGGAGGAGGAGGATCGAGGAGGGGGAGCGAGCCGAGAGGGGAGGACCGCGGGAGGGCACGCGGCACCCGCCCTCGGGCCCTGGAGAGATCAAGGGGCTCCGGCGCAGGGGCCTGGCTGCCCCACCCCCCCTCGAAGCTCTGGCCAGAGCGCAGCCCAGGCCAGCGGCCCGGGGGGGGCCGACCCCAGAGGCCTCCTAGATGGGGTTCGAGTAGATGTGTCGAAGGATCGCGCCGCATCGCCAATGCATCGCCGATGTATCGGCGATGCATCGGCGATGCACTGGCGACGTCGGCGATGCATCGCGACGTGGGGCGTGGAGAAAATCGGGCTCCGCATCGAACCGCATCGCCGATGCATCGGCGATGCGGCCGCGATCCTCCGACCCCATCTGCTTGGACCCCCTCTATGAGGCCTGGAGCAGTTCCCTCCCTTGAGCAAGGGCCGACAGTCCCGGCATTCCTATAGTCCTACCACGAAATGTTCTGAGAGCCCCAAGATGTTCTAAGAACAATCCTTAGAGCATAAACCCGATGTGTTAAAACAAGACAGACTCCGCCGGAAATGCTCTGAGAACACTTTGTGGAAATCACAAAAGTTTCTTAGAACATTGTTTGGTGAGACTGTAAGCGAGCCGGGACGCTTCGCCACTGCTTGATCCTAGAGAGATGGGGTCCGAGGGCGGCAGGTTCATGTCGTGTCGACCCCCTTCGTGGGTTCCCGACACCGCGGGGATCGCTCCGTCTTGAACGATCGGCCGTTTCCGAAACGCCAGCTCGTGCAAAATCGACCGACTGTGGGTCGCCCGCGGCGTTCCACGTTGAACGCCAGCGGCGGGGTCGTCGCCGGTCAACACGACGCGACCTTACCGTACAGTGGAGACCTGTGCCAAGAAACGCCCTGCTTGCCTCCTGGGTGCCCTGAGTTTCTCGGATCTCGATGGTTCTGCAGTGGGAAGACGTGGCCTTTCTCCCGCACCAGAGATCAATGGACGTCCTGGGGTCTCAGGGTTGAGTTCCTTGTAGAAGGTACAGTCAACCCGTGCAGCCAGGATGCGCGATAAGGATGCAAGGGCCTTGGACGCCCATTTGGAGCTTTCGAGCGGGGCGCGACCAGCAAAAGCGGCCAAGGATGGGCCGAGAATGCAAGGATGCAAGGGTACCCTTGGGAAGGTTGCCCATCCTTACTCTGCGGGTTGACTGTATCTTGTGGACTGGCCTCCACTGCAGATGGGTCCGAGGACCGCGCCGCATCGCCGATGCATCGCCGCTGTTTCGGCGATGCATCGGTGATGCGTCCTCACCGTCGGGCGGTGCATCGGCGACGTCGGCGTGGGGAAAAATCGGGCACCACATCGCATCGAGCCGCGTCGCCGATGCACCGGCAGTGCGGCGCGATCCTCCGACCCCATCTGCTCGGACCCCATCTTGGAGGCCTGGAATAGTTCACGCAACCCAGGAGAGGTCCGACACGGGCATTTGTCAGTGCGGGATCCCTGCAAGTCCCGACCCTCTCCCCGGGGCCAATCTCTCATCCTGGATCGTTCCTGGACGGCCCAGAGGCCGAAATTGGCCCAACCCTCCCCGTCCTGATGCAACGACACGACCATGTCCGGGGAGGGGGGACCGACCCGAGGAGGACCCCGTGATGTACACCGCCGCTCGCCGTCGCTCGGACAGCCATCCCCCTGTGCATTGTTCGGTTTCGCGCTCGCACTTTTCGCAGGATGGCCCACGAGATGCTCCTCGAGGGTCCTCGCCGAGAAAAAATATACACACACGTCCGAGCGATGCCAAGGCCGTCGCGCACGAAGCCGCGACGGCCGGCCCGTCCCGAGCCGCGGGCCTCCAGGGAGGCCTGCCGGCCTGCTCCTCGGGCCGCGGGGCCACCGGAGCACAGCCTGCCATGTCGTTCGGAGGCCCGCTCCCCGTGCCCCCTGCTGGTGTTGAGTCGGGCGTGTCCCCCTACGGGGGGATTGTCGACGAAACATAAAAGGTGCTCAAAAGATACTCCAAAGTGGTCATAAGATACCCCCCAAAATAGTCCCCAGACTATTATCTGACTATTTTGGAATATTCCTCCTGTAGAGGGACGGGCCCGACTTAATGCTAGTGAACGTTTTCTATTCGGCGTTTCGACATTTGGCGGAAGGGGGGGGAGGGGTCTGGCTCCGAGCCTCTGCTTAATGCCACTGTTTGTAACCGTGCGTCCATGATGAGGGAGACTCCGCCTGCGTGAAACAGGCGCCACAAACAGTCAAGATCTACTTCATTAGGGGGGAGGGGGAGCACGAGGGCCGGCGCCAATCGGCAAAACAATGGAGAAGAAAACAACGACCTTGGTGTCGTGCGTGTCTCGTTCATGCTTCATGGAGATGGCCCAAGAGTCGAGTAGGGGATCGATTCCAGAATTGGTTTACCCATGAGGTATATCATTTATGGCTACAGAATAAACATTTACCCCTTCGCGTCGAACCCATGGGAAAACATATAGTCAGTAGATCCAGGAGCATTGTATATATGTTTCGTAGATTCGACGGGACATCAACTTTAGGGGAAATATCGATTCTGACGTCGATCTCCTGCTCGAGAGATGCCCAGCGTAGAATGCTCCTCCTCCTCCTCCTCCTCCTCCTCTGGCTGCTTCTCCTCATCCTGCTCCCTGCCCCTGCCGCCCTCCTCCTGCCCCTCCCCGTCTCCTCTTCCCTCCCCGCTCCTCGCCCTCCCCACTCCTCGCCCTCCCCACTCCTCCCCCTCCCCACTCCTCCTCCTCCCTTCTCCTCCTCCTCCTCCTCCTTCTTACCGTCCTCGTCTACATATTCGCCTTCGTCTTTGTCTTCGTCGTTGCCGTCCTCCTTGTCCTCCTCCTCCTCCTCCTCCTTCTCCTTCTCCTCCTCCTCCTCCTCCTTCTGCTCCTGCCGCTGCTAGTGCACAGCCCCAGGATTTCGCGGTCCTCCTCCCTCCTCCCCTGCTTCTGCCTGCGTGCCCCTGGAGCTCCCCCAGAAGCATCCGAGAAAAGCCTCCGGACGATTCCGGACATCCCCCGCTCAGAGCCTCGGCCCTCGAATCTCCTGCTGCCCCTGCTCCTGCTGCTGCCAAGGCCTCCGAGGTCGCATTTTTCGGGCAGCTCTCCGAGTCGCGTGACTCGCCATCGCTCGCCGTGCCTAATTTGTCAATCTCGGTTTTTTGGTGCGTGTGTGTGTGTAGATATATGTATATATTATTCCCAACCATCCTGTGGTGTTGGGTCCTCGTTTTGAAGAGATAACGCCCCGCGTTCCTTCCTTCATTCCTTCCTTCCTCCTCCCGCTGCCTCCTCCCTCCTCCCCTCCTTGCTTCTGCATCATGACACACCCCTCACACGTTTCGTGGCCCGATAGGGAGCTCCACCTAAGGTCCCAGTGACGCCGCTCGCATGGCGGCCTCGGGCCATTTCGGCACACCCCTCACACGTTTCGGGGCCCCATAGGGAGCTCCACCTAAGGTCCCAGTGGCGCCGCTCGCATGGCGGCCTCGGGTCATTTCTGCAAACCCCTCACACGTTTCGTGGCCCCATAGGGAACTCCACCAAAACTCCCAGTGGCGCCGCTCTCATGGCGGCCTCGGGTCATTTCGGCACGCCCCTCACACGTTTCGTGGCCCCATAGGGAACTCCACGTAAGGTCCAGCGGCGCAGCTCGCATGGCGGCCTCGCCCAATTTGGCACACCTCACACATGTCTTGGCCCCGTAGGGCGCTCCACTGAAGGTCCCAGTAGCGCAGCTCGCATGGCGGCCTCGGGTCATTTCTGCACACCCCTCACACGTTTCGTGGCCCCATAGGGAGCCCCATCTAAGGTCCCAGTGGCGCCGCTCGCATGACGGCCTCGGGTCATTTCGGCACGCCCCTCACACGTTTCGTGGCCTCATAGGGAGCTCCACCTAAGGTCCCAGCGGCGCAGCTCGCATGGCGGCCTCGCCCCATTTTGGCACACCTCACACATGTCTTGGCCCCATAGGGAGCTCCACCGAAGGTCCCAGTGGCGCAGCTCGCATGGCGGCCCCGCCCATTTTGGCTGGGAGTCGTTCGCCACCACCCAGGAGCAGCTGTCGAAGACGGCCCGGGCGAAGTGCCTCAAGAATGACGTGGGGTCTTGGGCGACTCCCAGCATCTGGAACACGGAGGAGGTCGAGGCCGCGCTGCGCGAGAAGCGCAGCGACCGCGGCGAGGACGTGCAGCCTCCTTGCCAGTGCGCCCAGTGCACGGGGCGGGGCAACTGGCTGGACAGCATGCTGACGGCGCAGGAGTACCTGGCCCTGGAGACCACGAAGACCGCGGCCAACTTCGGCGGCATCTCCAAGGCGAGGGCTTCGAAGCCGAAGAGGCCGCAGAAGGACGATGTGCAGGTCGCCGAGGCCCCCGTGTTCCGGGAGGGCGCCGAGGACTCGGGGGCGGGCGCCGCGCAGGTGGACCCCAAAGCATCCGTGCTCAGGAAGGCTTCGCGAAGCTGGGCACCAACACGGCACTGGAGCATCACTTCGACCCTGAGACGCTCGGGCAGATCTTGCGCTTCGACGCCGCCGAGCGCGCGCAGGCCTTCGTGAAGGAGCTTAAGAAGGCCGCCGCGATGATGGAGAACGGCGCGCTGCCCGGGCCGGCTGACGCCGACGCGTCGCGGCGCGCTGCCCGCGCCCTGAAGGACAGCGTCCTCGCTCCGTTCAGGGCCCTGCGCAACCTCGACGCAGACGAGCTGAAGAGCTTGGTGGAGACCCAGCGGAAAATGTTCGCCAAGGGAGGCACGACGGATGCGGACGCGCGCGTTGCCGACGCCCCCGCGCCAGACGACGTCGGCGCAGCGGGCGCTGGCGCGATGCCGGCCGAGGCGGCGCAGGCGCGGTGGGAGCCTTCGGAGGAGTTGCAGCGGCCAAGCGACTTCGTCAAGCGCCTCGTCAAAAAGTTCGAGGACGGCGCGGTCAACCCGAGGACGGGGGAGCGGGGGCCACGCCCTCTGAAGCCCGACCGGGCCCTGTTCGTCACGGCGTTCGCGAACGCCTGCAACGTGGTGTGGGACGAGGAGCGGAACATCGAGGACGGCAGCATGGCCAAGCACGCGAAGCGGAAGACGTTCCAGTTTTTGCTCCTGGGCCAGGGCGGCAGCGGGAAGACCGCCATGGTGCAGGAGATTGTGCTGCCGGCCATGGACGCGCTGTTCCCTGTGGAACCGGGCAAGGCGGACCCGTCCACGCTGATAGTCTGCGCGAAGTGGTCCCAGGCCGCGAACATCTCCACGGACGCTCACAAGGCCGTCAGTTGCCACCGGGCGGGAGTCATGGGAGTGCAGCCCTTCAGGAACAAGGACATACCCGCGGGGGGCAAGCTGAAAGCGCCGCAGGACACGTGGGAGGCGGTTAGGTGCTTGATCCTCGAAGAGGTGAGCATGATCTCGCCCAACCTGTACAACATGCTGGCATTCCGGTCCTACCTGGGACGCAAGGCCGAGTGGGGCGCGGAGGAACGGGAGTGCGACCAGGTCGGCGGCGCCTTCGGCCGGATGCCTATCGTGATCCACCTGGGAGACTTCCTGCAGCTGAAGCCGAAGGGAGGCAAAGTGTCCCTCATCTCCAGCTTCGAGAAGCTGGCGGCGGCGGGCATCAACCTCGCTCCAGAGTGCCAGGCCGTGATGAAGCTCTGCTGCAACACGCCGCTGTGCTTCGAGCTTCAGGCGTCCAACCGCTTCAAGGGCCCGAAACTCAGGGACCTCATGGCGTTCCTGCGCAAGCCGGGCAATCAGGCCCCCCCCGGCCATCCGGACCACGTGGAACGCCATGCAGCTGAAACCCGATGGTCGTAGACTCCGGGAGGAAAGGTTCCAGAACGGCCACATGATTGGGTCCTATTGGGACACCGTGGCGCGCTGGATGAACACGCGTGCCCAGCGGGACGCGGACGTCCTGAAGAAGCCTTTCTTCCTCGTGCAGGCCGCCGACAGGTCTGCCCCGACGATGAGCAGGAAGGACGCCGCCAAGATGATGAACTGTGCCAACCCGAAGAACACCGGTGGCATGCACGGACTGCTCCCGGTGCACGTGGGCATGCGGCATGCGGGTCGGGCTCCTGGAGGCGCTGGACCTCAAGAGCGGCCTCGTCAAGGATGCCGAGGGGCAGATCGTGGACATCGTCGTGGACCCTCGAGATCGGGGCGACGTCGACAAGGCCGAGAGAGACGGGGAGAAGAGGATTAATCTGAAGCACTTGCCGCGGGGGTTCTGGGTGCACATGGAGAAGTACTCGAGCGCGCCCTTCGTGCAGACCTCGAGCGCCACGACGAGAGCCTCACGGGGGACCTCGCGGGCCCGCTGGTGTTCATCGAGCCTCGCACGTCGGAGCCGTTCACGCTCCGCACCTCCAAGGTCGCACGAACGGGCTTCCCCTTCTCGCGCGGCAGGGTCATCGCCGCGGTGGCGTGCCAGGGGCGCACCATGCGCGAAGGCGACGGGGCGAGGGAACAGCGCTCTGGGGCACTGTGCGGCCAGAGCTGCTGGGCGCGAGCGGTCCGCAGCCAGACCTTCTCTCGGTCTCGTGGATTCTCGCCCTGGGCCGTCGGCTGTCCGGCGCGCTGCCCCTTCGGCTGACGTCGCCCAGGCGTGATCCTGGACTGCGGCCGCCATGAGGTTGGGAACGGCAAGAAGGAGGACGACGACTGGTGGCTGGAGCTCTACGTGCTGCTATCGCGCGCCACGCGCCACGAGGACCTCCTGGTCATGCGGGCGCCGCGCGTCGAGTTCTTCCTGGCACGGCCGCCGGAGGGATTGCGGAAACAGCTGGAGCAGCTTGCAACGCGCACGAAGCGGTGCAGGAGGGAGGCGACGGCCCTCGCCAGGGAGCTGGGCTTCACCGAGTTTATCCGCGAGGCTTGACACGTCCGAGCCTCGCCGTTTCTCGACGGTCTGACTGTTTAGCTTCGCGCCGCGGGCAACCCGCGCGCGTCGCTGGGACCCTCTCGGGGCGACTTGCGCGCGTCCCGGGAATTTCGCGCTGCGCTCTGCCCAGAGCTTCGCTCGCCCTCGTCGTCACTCTGCCCAACGGCCACAGCCTTGCCCGCTATCAGCCAGCCTGCTCGCTCTCCCTGCTGCGCGCAGCGGACGACCCGCGCGCGTCGCCGGGACCCCTTCGGGGCGACCAGCGCGCGTCGCGGGGACTCCGCGCGGCGCCGCGCCCGCAGCCATGGACATCGGCGCGCACGGGCAAAATGGCAGAAAAAAAGGGAAGGAAGCGGGCGCGATCCTTGTGAGGAGCGTGCCGACGTGGGCATCCAGATTTGTGTACGTACTGATTCGCACGCTGACTCATTCACAATCACACTCACTCGCGCTCAGGCTCACCCGTTCTCAGCCTCTCGCACTCAGACCGACCGTCTTTGTTCGTATTGCGTACCCCGCCACGAGTTTCGGCACGCCCCTCACACGGTTCGTGGCCCCATAGGGAACGCGGGCGAAGATGGGATTCCACAATTGCGGTATTCACAACCGCATATGGTTGGGTCGTTCGTCAGGCTAATGTTGTTTTTGTTTGTTTGTTTTTCTTCTTCCTTTCCTTGTCCCAAGATGATCCAGGATGCTCCTCGATGGTCCTCGCCGGGGAGAAATGCACACGCCCGAGCGATGCCGAGGTGACTTGTGGATGGTCGTGGAGCCCGACAAGAGCGGCAGGCAGGTGCCGAACACAGCGAAGACCACCCGCCAAATTTTGAGCAGAGACCGTCCGTCCCGGCATTTCTTTAGCCTACCACGACATGTTCTTAGAACCCCCAAACATGCTCTTAGAACATGACCACGATGTGTTAGATCAAGATAGTCCCAACCAGAAATCTTATGAGAACACTTCGTGGAAAGCACAAGAGGTTCTTAGAACATTGTTCGGTAGGCCTATGGGGGAGCCAAGACGCTTCGTCACTGCTTGAAGGTTCTGCCCACGGCGCTATAAGAGGCCCGCAGGCCGGCTGCTCCTCCTGCTGCTGCCGCTCCCTCCGCGCCGCGCGGGGGAGAGGAGGCTTGCCCCGGCGCCTCGGACAGCTTGCCGCGGTCTCCGCTGGCGGCCTCCCGACGAGCGAACGGCGACGACGCCGACGACGAGGACGACGAGGACGACGAGGACGAGGACGACGAGGACGACGTGGACGAGGACGAGGACGAGGACGAGGACGACGATGAGGACGAGGGACGACGAGGACGAGGGACGATGACGACGATGATGGCGAGGACGAGGGACCGTCGGCCTCTTTGAACCAAAGCGAAGCAAAGGCGGGGACAACATAGGACCAGTATAAGTCGAGAGTCTCTTATGTCTGGCGGTTCCCAAGGATGTATCCTAAGCCGCTCGAGGCGACAAGCTCTTACGCCCCAGCGTCTTCGTATGTGCTGGGGCACAAGAACTGATTGGCTGCTGATGTTCCCTCCCCCATTACCTCCCTTTCAGCCGCAATCGGACTTAACGCAGCAATGCTTTCGGTCCCAGCCCCGCAACCGCAACGAGGGTCCGAAAGAGCTCCAAGAGGCCACAAGAGTGCCCCTCAAACAACCCCCCACAATACTACAGGCTCCTGGCATGATACTGGTGGAAGCCTTCTTTTGGAACCCTCCTGGAGCCCGCTCGGGACCCTCTTGGGGACCTCTGGGAAAACGGTCGGAGCCCTCTGCAGTCTCGGTCACAATAGGTCCCAAGAGAAGCCCAAGGCGCATCAAGAAGGTCCGAAAGAGCCCCGAGAGGGCACTGCAAACAGACCCGAACACTATCATACTGGGGGTCCATTGGGGCCCGCTTGTGTGTTTCTGTGCTTTCTGGGACTCTTCCGACGGCACTTTTTACTGGCTCTTGGTATGTGTCCGCTTTTTACCAGACCAAGCAGACAAGCCCAGACTAGACTAAGCAAATCAACCTGATCACCGAACCTGCAATGCATCAAACATTGTGTTGCTGTGGATGGGGCTGCAAATCAACAGAATAGACAGACCAGATCTGCCACCCAGACCGCCCGGACGAAGCAGACCTCGTCAGACCAGTGAAATAGACCAACAAGACCAGCCAAGTAGACCAACCAGACCAACCTGCCCAGATAGCCGTTCAGACCAGCGAAGCCCCGACCAGACTAAGCAGATCAACCTGACTGGACCAGAAAAACTATCTAGACCAGCCAGTCAGACCAGCCAGGCCAGCCGGCCAGAGCAGTCAGACCAGCCAGCCAGACCAGCCAGCCAGGCGCCATTACAGCGCAAACAAAACTGCAATGCAGAAATAATAACTGCAATGAAAAAACCCGTTTTCGTGTCGTCGCCGACATGTGCGCTTCAACCCTCCCAGAAACTTCCCAAACCACGCTTGGCTCCCACGCGGAATCCGAAGCTGAAGCTCCAGCAGCGCCACATGCAGAAACAAAAACTGCAACGCAAACAATGTGCAATGCAAAACAACTGTTTCGTGTCGTCGTCGCCGGCATGTGCGCTTCAACCCTCCCAAAAACTCTTCAAACCACGCTTGGCTCCCACGCGGAATCCGAAGCTGAAGCTCCAGCAGCGCCACATGCAGAAATAGAAACTGCAACGCAAACACAATGCAATGCAAAATTACCCTGACGAAGGACCCAACCATATGCGGTTGTGAATACCGCAATTGTGGAATCCCATCTTCGCCCGCGCTCCCTATGGGGCCACGAAACGTGTGAGGGGCGTGCCGAAATGACCCGAGGCCACCATGCGAGCGGCGCCACTGGGACCTTAGATGGAGCTCCCTATGGGGCAACGAAGCGTGTGAAGGGTGTGCAGAAATGACCCGAGGCCGCCATGCGAGCTGCGCCACTGGGACCTTCGGTGGAGCTCCCTATGGGGCCAAGACATGTGTGAGGTGTGCCAAAATGGGGCGAAGCCGCCATGCGAGCTGCGCCGCTGGGACCTTAGGTGGAGCTCCCTATGGGGCCACGAACCGTGTGAGGGGCGTGCCGAAATGACCCGAGGCCGCCATGCGAGCGGCGCCACTGGGAGTTTAGGTGGAGCTCCCTATGGGGCCACGAAACGTGTGAGGGGTGTGCAGAAATGACCCGAGGCCGCCATGCGAGCGGCGCCACTGGGACCTTAGGTGACGTATGAGGGGTGTGCAGAAATGACCCGAGGCCGCCATGCGAGCGGCGCCACTGGGACCTTAGGTGGAGCTCCCTATGGGGCCACGAAACGTGTGAGGGGTGTAGCGAAATGACCCGAGGCCGCCATGCGAACGGCGCCACTGGGAGTTTAGGTGGAGCTCCTTATGGGGCCACGAAACGTGTGAGGGTGTGCAGAAATGACCCGAGGCCGCCATGCGAGCGGCGCCACTGGGACCTTAGGTGGAGCTCCCTATGGGGCCACGAAACGTGTGGAGGGTGTGCAGAAATGACCCGAGGCCGCCATGCGAGCGGCGCCACTGGGACCTTCGGTGGAGCTCCCTATGGGGCCACGGAACGTGTGAGGGGTGTGCAGAAATGACCCGAGGCCGCCATGTGAGCGGCGCCACTGGGAGTTTAGGTGGAGCTCCCTATGGGGCCACGAAACGTGTGAGGGATGTGCCGAAATGACCCGAGGCCGCCATGCGAGCGGCGCCACTGGGACCCTAGATGGAGCTCCCTATGGGGCCACGAAGCGTGTGAGGGGTGTGTCATGATGCAGAAGCAAGGAGGGGGAGGAGGGAGGAGGCAGCGGGAGGAAGAAGGAAGGAATGAAGGAAGGAACGCGGGGCGCTATCTCTTCAAAACGAGGACCCAACACCACAGGATGGTTGGGAACAACTGTTTCGTGTCGTCGTCGCCGACATGTGCGCTTCAACACTCCCTGAACCTCCCTAAACCACGCTTGGCTCTCACGCGGGATCCTAAGCTCCCTAGCAGCGCCACTACATAGCAAACAAAAACTGCAATACAGACGAATCTGCATTGCACCTAACGTGTTCTCGTGTCGTCGTGGCCGACATGTTTGGTTCACCCCTTTCTGAACCTCCTCAAATCACGCTTGGCTCCCACGCGAAATCCAAGCTCAAACGCTAGCAGCCCCACTACAGCGCAACACAACTGCAATGCTGAAACATCAGATGCAAAGGAAACATGCAAGGCAAACACAAACCTACAGTGCAACACAACAACTGTGTTCGTGTGGTCGCCGACATATGCGCTTCATCCCTTCCTGAATCTACATCTGCTTTCGTGGGGTGGTCGCCGACATGTGCGCTTCAACCCTCCCTGAACCTCCCCAAACCACGCTTGGCTCTCACGCGGAATCCGAAGCTGAAGCTCTAGCAGCGCCACTACAGCGCAAACAAATTCTGAAATGCAAAAAGAACCTGCAATGCAAACAGAAACTGCAATGCAACACAACTGCTTTCTTGTGGTCGGCGCCAACAAATAAACCCTCCCTGAACCTCCCCAAACCAGGCTTGGCTCCCACGCGGAATCCTAAGCTCAAGCTCAAGCAACGTCACTGCAGCGCAACAAATCGGCAATGCAGAACAAACTGTAATGCAAAACAAGCTACAGTGCACAAGCAACTGCTTTCGTGTGGTCGCCGACGGGTGCGCTTCAACCCTCCCTGAACCTCCCCAAGCCACGCTTGGCTCTCACGCGGGATCCCAAGCTCAAGCTCAAGCTCGAGCAACTGAGAAGAAGCCCAAGCCACAAACCTCAAGCTTGCCCTTTTGAAACTCGGCGTCCCACCGTGCGCCACGACGGCCAAAAACTTTATCCTCCGCCGCGGCGGTTCCAGAGCGCTCCAGAACGCTCTAGGAGATTTCCGGAATACTCCAGGACTCTTGAGCAGGGACCGACCGTCCCGGCATTCCTATAGTCCTACCACGAAATGTGCTTAGAACCCAAAAATGCTCCAAGGAAAAAACAACAATGTTCTTAGACCATAAACCCTATGTGATAAAACAAGACAGTCCCAACCAGAAATGTTCTTAGAACATTGTTTGGTAGGGCCATAGGCGAGCCAGGACGCTTCGCCACTGCTTGACAGGACGATGCCTCCCTGTCCTATAGCACGGCCCGCTGGGCCCCATTCGACGGGGCTCGTCTTCCTGACGCTCCACACAGGTGATGTGCTGGTTTTCGGACGTGGACGTGGACGTGGACGAGGAGGAGGAGGAGGAGGAGGAGGAGGAGGAGGAGGAGGGGGAGTGGGAGGAGGAGGAGGAGGAGGAGGAGGAGGAGGAGGAGGAGGAGGGGAGGAGAGGAGGAGGAGGAGGAGGAGGAGGAGGAGGAGGAGGAGGAGGAGGAGGAGGAGGAGAGGAGGAGGAGGAGGAGGAGGAGGAGGAGGAGGAGGAGGAGGAGGAGGAGGAGGAGGAGGGGAGGAGGAGGAGGAGGAGGGGAGTGGTTGGAGGAGGAGGAGGAGGAGGAGGAGGAGGAGGAGTGGAGTGGAGTGGAGTGGAGCCCGTTGCGGATGCAAGTTCGTCTCAACCTCAACCCTTAAAGTGTGCTCGACTTCCTGGCCTTCTTCTCGACCTGGCTGAGGACTTTCGGCTTCAAACCAGCAGCAAGTCTGTCGAGGTATTCTCTTTGGGTCTTATTCATCTGCTCACGACACGGCTTGCTCAAGAGGCGATTGGCTCCAGAAGCGCCTAGGTGCACGAGGAGTGATGGAGGAGGAGCCATGGAAGAGCTTAAGGAACAACGAGCCCATTCCGCACCCGAGGCGTTCCTTCTTTCAGCGTCTTGGCTGTACTAGGGCTGCGCTACTAGAGCTGGATGCAACCCTACTCAGATCCACCTACGGCTAGGCTGGGTGCAGCCCTTGTGGGACCCAATGCGAGCTGGGACACGGGACCTCCAGTGGAACACCAGAGGGACACCAAAGAAAATACAGCGGGATGCCATCGGGACACCATCAAAACACGATCAAGACACCCATCGAGACACCCATCGGGGAAACCATCGGGACGCCACAGTGACACCACCAGGACACCATGGCAAATCAATCGCAACATCATCGAGACACCAGTGAACATCAGTGGGACGAAGATCGAGACACCATCGCACCACACTGCCCAGACCTCCAACGACTGGAGATATACAGACGGGCCGCTGAAAGAAGGAACGCTAAATAAGGAACGAAACCCCTTCTTGGCCCTGTAAGCTGTAAGCGCCTCCGAACCAAGAGGAACAGCACTGGAGGAACCTAAGGAACATCGAGCCCCTTCCGAACCCAAACTGCTCCTTATTTCAGCGTCTGGACTGTGCAAGGCGGTTGATTTTTGATCTACTCGGCAGATGAAGACGTCTTCACGCCCCCGGGACCATCAACAGCTGGTCGGGACGAGGGAAAGGTCCCGGGCATGCGGCCGAGGGCCCCAGGGCCCGCACAGTGAAAAGTCAAGGCGTCGGAGGCGGGGGCGGTCGACAACCTCAAAGGGGCCCCAGGACACACAAATAAACACACACAAATAAAACTATTCTCCATATTTTGGCATATTTTGGGGGTTTTCGTCTTCCCCCCCACTTCCCATATTTTCCCATAGTTTCTGGGGAATCGACGATTAATTATGTCTGTGTGTTTTTGTTCCCCTCCTGAACCCTTATCGGCAAAACCGTGGCAGGACCGCCTCGCACGGACTTTGTGCAGGCCCTTGCGGACCAAAAGGGGGAAGCTGAACAGGGTGGGGCCGCCATGGGCACAAGCGTGAGGGGCGCGCGCGGGAGAGAGGCGCGCGCGGTCCAGACTCCGAGCCGGTGCGAAGAGGGCGGGAGTGGGATGCGAGACGAGAGGCGGTGGAACCTCTAAGGCGGTGTCGGAGAGCTCGACAGATGAGAGCTTCTGCATCCCGTCGAACTTCACCTCGCAGGTTTCGCATTAACCATGCGCAGCGGGACGAAAGGGTCGAGGCGCTTATCTACCAAGTCAGGCGTTCGATCTCGCATTGCACCTTCAGTCCGCCCACGGTGTTGATATTGATATCCTCCTCCCGCTTCCTCTTGTCCTTCTGCTCTCAGCTCCTTCCTCGTCACTCATGATCGGGATCCCGAGGCGTTCCAACGAGCGCGCCTCACCAAGCGTGCGTTCCTTCCAAGGCCAAACCCTTGCATCAACAACCAACGTCACTGGAACTCCCACGCTGGCGTTTTCGCTCACATGAATGGAAGCAATAAACGATGCTCTGTATTAGACAGCTGCTACAACGTGCTCGTTGGGTTCCGCTGCGCGCCAGTCGCGTGCACATGGACTACCTCTCCATGCAACTCGCGCAAAACAATTCGGCGCAAATCCACCACCGTGCCGTGGGCACGGGGTGTCCTCAGGTACCTTGGAGTTCTCTGCGCTGAACGTCGCAATGGTCTTCGAGGGGCCGAGTGTCTGGATTCACGGGCGCTGTCTGGGCGGCGCGCGTGACTTTTCCTCACGAGGGGTCCACGGAGGGGGAGTACGAACTGACATTTCGAGCCACTCTTCGCCGAAAGGGCCCCCGAGACTGCCAGCAGGCCCGTAGAGACCCCAAAGAGGCCCCCAGAGCTCCACAGGAGGACTCCAAGAGGCCCTCAAGACGCCCAAAGAGATCCTCAAGAGGCCCAAGAAGGCCTCCGAGAGGCCCCGAACAGTCCTGCAAAGGCCTCCCAAGAGACACCTCAGATGCGGCCTCTAGTGCTCAACCTGGTCGAAGGCCAGTAGAACCGCCATACCCCTTTTGTTTGCAAGATTGCTTTCTGGCGTGCTAGACTCTCGAATTTGTTTTGTCCTTTCAAGCGGATCCCAATGGTTTCTGGCCCAACCCACCGGCCAACTCAGCGAACTCCAAAGGTGCACAGCTCTAGCTCGCAGACGGCCAAGTTGACTTCCAAGACGCTTCCTTGACGGGTAAGATGGCTGTAAGAAGGTCCAATACGGTCCCACAATGCTTCTAAGACGGCCCAAGGTGGTCCCAAGACGTCCCAAGATGGCCTCCATACGGCCCAAGAGGCTCCCAAGCCTCGGGATTTTGTAGTGGACCGCAAGCTGCGAGAGCACTCCTACACCTACTATTCCTGCCGTATCGCCCCACGAACGCCTGCGAAGCTCGCTCCTGAAGTCACAACATCGCTCTACGACGTTGGGGAACTCGTCCGAGCAACGTGATGTGGGGCCTTTGCGAGCGGCCGGAAGTATCTGGCAAACTCTGCGGCAGCCAACATCAGCGTCGTTAGTGCGGAGAGCTTGTGAACAGATCAACGCCACCCTTTCCTCCTTTTCTCCCTCTCCTGCCCCCTCCCCTCCCTCCCCTCGGCGTGGCGCCCCTGTTGCCAGATCCCGCGTGCTTCTGCCGGCAGCTCGCCGAGCCAAACTGACCGCCCCCTCGGCGAATCAGGACGCCATTCCAAATTCCCCCCCCTCTTGCTCCCCCCACCCCCTCCGGCCCCTCATCCCCTCCCCTCCCTCCCCTCCCTCCCTTCCCTCCCTGCCCCCTCCCCTCCCTCCCCTCCCTCCCCTCTTGCTCCCCCCACCCCCTCCGGCCCCTCCTCCCCTCCCGGGCCCCCCAGCCCGCTCTGGGAACCTCCGAGGACCCCCCCAAAGAACCTCCAGAACCTCCAGAACCTCTTCCTCCTCCTCCTCCTCCCTCTCCTCCTCCTCCTCCTCCTCCTCCTCATCCTCCTCCTTCTCCTCCTCCTCCTCCTGCTCCTCCTCCTCCTCCTCCTCCTCCTCCTCTCCTCTCCTCTTCCTCTTCTTCCTCCCCTCCTCCTCCTCCTCCTCCTTCCTCCTCCTCCTCCTCCTCCTACTCCTCCCTCTCCTCTTCCTCTTCCTCCTCCTCCTCCCCCTCCTCCTCCCCCTCCTCCTCCCCCTCCTCCCCCTCCTCCTCCTTGCCGCCGCAGCGACAGGCAGGCGCCTTGACAGCCCCGCCGAGGGCCGAGGCGTCGAACTCCGCCGCCTGGAGGCGCCTGGCTGACCGCCGCCGCCGCCGCCCGTCGATCGCCGCCGTCCTCGGTCGTCGGCCGTCCGTTGTCGTCGCTCCTCGCTCGTCGCCGTCGTCGCCGTCGTCGGCCGCCGTCGATCGTTGGCAGTCGAACGTCGTCGCCCTCGCCCTCGCCGATGCCGCGGGGGAGAGGGTGGGGAGGGGGTGAGAGAGGGAGGGGGCGGACATGAAACAGCGGCGGAAGGATTGAGCAGGGACCGACCGTCCCGGCATTCCTAGTTAGTCCTGCCACGGAGTGTTCTTAAAACCCAAGAATGTCCAGAAAACAAAACAAGGTTCTTTGAACATAGATAAATCCGATGTGTTAAACCCAAACAGTCTCCCCCAGAAATATTCCAAGAACATCTCGCGCAGGCCACAACATAATCTTAGAGCATTCTTTGGTGGGCCTATAGGTGAGCGTTTTCCTACTCGGCGTTTCGACATTGGGTGGAGGGGGGGGAGGTCTAGCTCCGGACCTCTGCTTAATGAGACTGTTTGCAGCAGTGTGTCCATTAAGGGAAGCTCTACCCGCGCGAAACGGGCGCCCAAAACAGCCAAGATCTACTCCAGGGGGGGGGAGGGGGGGGGCGGCGAGGGCCCGCGCCGATCGGCAACCCAACGAATAAAAAAACTACCACCAGACAAGCCAGGACGCCTCGCCAATGCTTGACATGGCACGGAGGCGGAGGGAGGGAGGGCGGGTCGGCGGCGCGCGCGGCGGCCGCCTGCGCCCTCCCGTTGCCCCACCCTCTGCTCCCGCGTCGCTCGTGCACGGCCCCCGGGGCTCGGCGAGGCCCATCCCCCCCCCCGAGGCCGAAAGAGCAAGACCAGACAGCCCACCTAGACAAGCGCGTTCCACTACCCGCAAAGGAACTGCTTGCAAATGGCCTGGATCCGCCCCAAGGAACTTACGATCAATTACGTAGGGCAAGACATGTTTTTTTTTGTCGGACGTTTGCGGGTAGGCACTTGGCGAGTAGTGGAACGCGCTTGGTGACCACCTCCTGTCGTAGATTCCTGCCGCGACACTGAGACTGGAGGCCTCCCATGAGCAGATGGGGCAGGAACACCGCGCCGCACCCCGGATGCATCGGCGATGTGCTGGCGACGTCGGCGATGCATCGGCGACGCTGGGCTGGAGAACATCGGGCTCCACCTCCCCGATGCGTCCGGGATTCGGCACGATCCTCCAACCCCGCCTGCGGAAGGTTCGCGTGGTATCGACTTCGTCTTGGTCTTCTCAGAAGGCTCGATCCCCCGCCCTCGCGAGGAAGTTTTCGGAACCTTCCCGAAGACGCAGGAAGCCTCTCGGAAGGCGGGAGGGTTTCTGAGAATTCCCGCCGCCTTCTGAGAGGGCCTTCTCCTCAATTCTCCTTCTCTCTTCTCCAGAAAAAAAAACAACGGCAGAAATTTCAGGCGCTCCGCGCGGATTTCTTGGATCTGCGCTGGCCCCCCTTCCCTAGCGGCCCCGCTTCCCTAGCGCGCGGAGCGCGCCAGGGGCGGCGCCGGAGGCGCCGCCGGGCGGGCTCAACGCAGATCCAGGATATCCGCGCGGAGCGCCAAAGTTTGTGTATGGCGTTTTTTCTTCTTCGAGGGGGAAAGCGCGAACCCCACTCGGGATGTGGAGAGACACGCTCCTCGGCAGGCGCGAGGGTCTCCGAGAGGCCCCGCCGCCTCGGAGAGGGGCCCTCTCCCGACCGCTGCCCTGCCCTCGCTCGCCGCCGAGCCTCGGGGCGCTGGCGGGCGCAGGGCAGCGTGGAGACCGCGGGGCGGCAGGAGGATCCGCAGAGATCGTCTGTGAAGGGGCCCCAGGACACAAAAGTAAACACACACAAATAGAGATGTTCTCCATATTCTCTCATTTTTTGGGGGTTTTCGTCTTCCCCCCCACTTCCCATGTTTTCCCATATCTTCTGGGGAATCGAGGATGAATTGTGTCTGTGTGTGTGTGTGTTTTTTCCGCCTGGACCTTCATTCCGGCTGTGCCCCGGAGCGGGCGCACACGCCACGGCACACGCCAGTGTCGAGTCGGGCGAGTCCCCCTACGACGAAAAGTAAGACATGTTCCAAAAATACTCCAAAACTGTCGAACAGGGGCTCAAAAGGAGGGGCTCAAGGAGTCCACGGGGGCTAGGCTGGGGGACGGGCGGCTTGGCTGTTCTCGAGTGCGGTGGGGCCGCATCGAGGGACATGTCGGGCGTGGGAGCCTGTCGCCCTGCCGCGGTCGCCCTGACGGAGCTGGAGAGACGTGCGGGGCGCGGGCTGACTTCCGTCGAGACCCTGCGCGCGGAGTCGAAGCGGCTGCGGGCGGGCACGGAGGCCCTGCTGGACAGGATCGAGGCTAGTTTTCAGGACGTCCCGCGCCGCGGCCTCGTCCCCGCTGGAGGCGCGCCCGGGGCGCGCTCGAGGGCGCCGGCAGGAGATCGCGCAGCGGTCAGGGCCAGCGCTGCAGCTGACCAGCGCCTTTGGATCTGGGAAGTGCGGCGAGTGCCTCTGCTGCCCGGCGGGGTCGCCCAGCGCCGCGCAACACCTGGCATCTCGCCCGCCGCCAGAGCATAGAGGAAACCAGGAGGAGGCGGCCAGGAGCAGCGAGAAGAGGAGGAGGGGGATGAGGAGGCGGCCGAAAGGCGGCATAGAGCACGAGGAGGAAGCTGAGGACGAGGCTGAGGACGAGGCCGAGGACGAGGAGGCCGATGAGGCGGCTGAGGAGAAGGAGGAGGAGCGTGCCGCACGACCTGCCCGGTTCCGCCCAAGGTGCCGGTTCGTCTGGGCCGCGGTGCTTTGGGCCGCCTGCGCGGTGCCGGCGCCAAATGCCCTGCTCAGGCTCTCGTCACCGAGTGGCACTCCCAGGACTGGCAGTACCGCGACAGAGAGCAGCACGACATGGACGTCCACCGATTTTGTGCGCGGGATTGCGCACGACGCTAGTGGGCAGCACGACAGAGACCAGCAGGACGACTTTGACACCCACGAGGGGGACGGGTATTCGGACGAGCGCCATCCGTCCGACCAGCACGACGGCGACATGCAGCAGGCCGACTGGCGGCACGATGGGGCCCGACAGCACAGCTTCGACACCCACGACTGGGACGACCAGTGCGGCATGCAGAAGGCCCCGTTGCAACAGTTCAGGGGCCAGCACCACGATTTTGACTGGGACAATCATGATATCAGCGCCTGCGCATACGCCGGCAGCAACGCCATCGCCCACGCCAGCACTGACGCGAGCACCAACGCCGGCGCCTACGCCGGCACCAACGCCAGCGCACACACCAGCACCGACTCCAGCTGCATCGCAGGGCTCCCTCCAGGGAGAAATCACCACGGGGAAGATGTAGATAACCGATTCGGACAGGTCGGTGAAAGGGGCGCCCTCGCTGGTGGAGAGGGGCATTCGTGTTCGGCATCCCAGGGCGGTCGGACGGGATCCGAGCCGACCCAGTCGTTTCAACATATGTCAGAACAGGTCGGCCCGCCTGGTGAAAGGGGCGCCCTCGGTGGTGGAGAGGGGCCTTCGCCTTCGGCATCCCAGGGCGGTCGGACGGGATCCGAGCCGACCCAGTTGCTTCAACAACGTCCCTCGTCGCCACGGCCGGATTTGCCTCGGGACTCTGTTGGGGCCAACCCCGCACAAGACGTCCGCAACGACGGAGTCAAGCAGTACGTCGGCAACCAGCTCTACGGAACCAAGCTCTACTTTGGCGGTTGCCATGACGGAGTGGAGCAGCGTATCGGTGGGGGGCCAGCGCCGAGTCCAGTGACGACGCCAGCTACGACTCCAGCTCTGGCAGCATCGACGCCAGCTACGACGCCAGCGCCGACGCCAGCCACGACGCCAGTTACGACGCCAGCGCCGACACCAGCCACGACGCCAGCTACGACTCCAGCTCTGGCGCCACCGACGCCAGCTATGGCGCCAGCACCGGCGCCGGCTCTGGAGCCTCCGCCAGCGCCGATTCCATCTACGACGCCAGCGCCGACTTCGAATACAACGCCGGCTACGACCCTAGCTCTGGTGGCGCCGACGCCAGCTACGATGAAAGCGGCGACCCCTGCGCCTACGCCTGCACCAACGCCGGCGCCTACGCTGGCACCGCCCGCAGCGCCTGCAGCAACACCGACGCCAACACCAAGGTCCGCGATTATGCCGGCTCCAACGCCAGCGCCTGCACCAGCACCGACGCCAGCACCAACGACAGCGCTGACGCTGGCACCAACGTGGGCGCCTTCACCAGCATCGACGCCAGCACCGACGCCAGCGCCTACGATGGCACCGTCGTCAGCGCCTACTCCAGCACCGACGCCAGCACCGTGGCCAGCTCTCAAGCCAGCGCCTACACTAGCACCAACGCTGGCGCCGCCACCATCACTGACGCCAGCACCAACGCCAGCGCCGTCGCCAGCACTGACGCCAGCGTCCACACCAGCACTGACGCCAGCACCGACGCCAGCGCCGACGCCAGCACGAACCCCAGCGCCCACGCCTGCACCAACGCCAGTGCCTACGACGGCACCAACGCCAGCGCGTGCAGCAGCACCGACGCCAGCACCTGCGCTGGCACCAACGCTGGCGCCAACACCAGCACCGACACCGGCACCAACGTCCGCGCCTACGCCAGCACCAACTCCAGCGCCTGCACCAGCACCGACGCCAGCACCGACGCCAGGACCGACGTTGGCGCCTACACTGGCACCAACGTTGGCGCCCGCAATAGTACCGACGCTATCGCCAACGTCCGCGCCGACGCTGCTTTTGCCGGCACCGTCGCCAGCGCTTACACCATCGATGAAACCTTCACCGACGCCAGTTCTCACATCAGGGCCTGCACAGGCACCAAAGCCAGTGACTGCATCAGCGCCGACGCCAGCACCAACGCCTGCGCCTACGCCAGCACCAACGCCAGCATCTGTACTAGCACCGACTCCGGCACCGATGTCAGCACCGACGCCATCGCCTGTGCCCGCACCAACTCCAGCGCCATC